ACTGAGCCGCTGTGTACAGAAAGAAATGACGCGCGAGAGGCAAAAACACCAGCCATTGATATCTTATGCGAAGATCGTTGGCAAAATGTTGGCGACACTTTAAGGAATGCAGCACAATGCCATTTTTACGCTTATTTGGTTATGATTAAATCCATGCACACTACTTTCGAAAGCATCAACCGAAAGTTGACACCTGGTGTAAACCTTCGTGAAACTCTTCCATAGCTTGGAACTAAAGTGTCGGAAATAGCTTAGACTAAGTGGGATAGGTGTCCACAATACAAGGCTACTCCGATAGGCCTAATGCGATATAATGAGGAAAGGCGGCTTATTAACTAATTAAAACCAGCCGTGCCCACAGAACATATATCGTTGCCTGTTCGACACAGTTGACTGGGATGACAGAAGGTGTATCATGGGCTTTAAAATGTTGTCACTTAAGATCTTTTCTTGAATCAGGTCATTTCGGAACCTTTTGGAGCCAATAGATGGGAGTGTGCCAGCAGTTTGTACGCGGATTGCGCAATTGCAAAGGCACCTGCCATATAATATGACTATATTTTCTAAATATTTTTTGAGTGCACAAGTGACACCAAAGTCGTATGCAAATATGGGTGGTGCCAATAGCTCAATGTTAAGATGCGGTCTCGTTTCGAAATCATTTATAGCCATGGGAGGAGAGTGAAACCGTGTACGTTTAATAGCCAAAAAGCAAGAACATCAATCAAGATGAAAACATCGGCCCACTTTACCGATGGCCTTCGAGTCGGTTACCTAATATGGCCGCCACAGGACATCTCGTTAAAAGGCGAAAAGGTGCTCTGCTATTATAGAAAAAGATGTGACCACTTTGCACATACGTTCGGCACTGTAAGGACGCATCTTTCGAAGAAAATAATTGTGAAAACCACAGCAGACGTCACGTGTGTGAAATGTGTGGCGAAAAAACGCATATCGTTATTAATTCCAAATCTTACATATTTGTATATACTTGTACAAAGTAGTGAAATGATTCATATTGGGACGAGATGAGTGAAAACGTGTGCGTTTACGCGGTAGCTGCCTTGCGGACAGTTGAAATGGCCGGGAATTGACATAGCCTTTTAGACAGTTGAAATGGCTGGAAGCAGAAGCAATCCTCAGTTCAGAGATGTTGGTCCTCATATTGCCTGCTTAGTCATATACTACTGGAAATGACGGCATCGCAAAGTAGGTGCGCGTCAAGCTCTCAAAAACTGAACAATCACTGAACAGGGCAATGCGTTTTGCATTGCCTTTTAGTTTAAATGTCTTTAAACAAGCGAACTCTTCCGAAATTAAAATAGCACGCCACAGTGCACCGGGTGTACCACGAAACAGGCAGCCGCGCCTGCCATTGCTCGACGCCCAACGCCGCCGCAAAACACCGACACTCAGCCGAATGTACTGGCACCTCAGGGGCAGCCCCAGACCGGCCGCAGATGACTTCACCGGCACCTGCTGACCAGACACTGTCACCCCAGAGACAGCCCCGGCCGGGTGAGGGGCGGCTTATGACCTGGTCCGGGCCGTAAACCAGTTATGGATTGGCATTCAGTAATAAAGCGTTGCAAAGGGGTGCGTGCTGTTTGTAACATCGAGCGCAACCGTCGCGTTTCTTCCGTAATAACATCTGCTGGCTATGTTGGCAAACCTGACTACAAACGACGGGTTTCACTCTTGCATCAAGTTTATCCCAGTTTTCGCGCATTTCAGAGATGGCACCAAGCTACACTGTTACACCACATTAAATTGTCTTTAATAATGTTAGTGTTACACGCGCCCGGATGGCTGGTTGGATACTCTTTGCGGGGGGGGGGGGGGCAATTTGACCCCTCTGAAATCTCAGGAACTGAGAGAGCTGGTGACACCAAAGTTATAGAGTGTGTTGAACTGTACGTGAACTCACTTAGGTCATAGTTTGATGTTCCTAGGTCATGACCTTTGGGTCAAATAAGGTCGAACAAGGTCAATTTCAGGTTCGTCTCCAAAGAGCTCCTGGAATCTAGTTTAACGTTCTAAGCAAAAAGTCACATGCTCATCTAAGGTCAGTGGCCTTGTTTGACCTTTTGAAGGTCATGTTGACCAAAATCATACAAGACCCTTTTGAGTTTTGCATTTAGATAAGCGGTAAAGATTACGCTGGGCAGTATGTTCCTAAAACAAAGTGTTCACCTGGGTTATTCCGGATCAGTGACCTATTTTGACCTTAATATGGAAGGTGTATAATGCGGTTCCTGTTGTCAATAAATTTGCAATGAGCACCAAAAACTACTACGTACAGCAAGCTCAAGAGCAATAAAATAGGTTGGTTTTGACCTTGGTCTGACCCTCATACCTCAGCCTTAGGCCAATGTAATTTGTTCACTCAATTGTTGTGTTGCCTAAGAAAGTATTTCAGAGGTGTATGGCTTCGTTTAACAATCCGTTGTTGGATCAGGTTGAACGATTCCATAGAAATTGCCGTCGCTGAAACCATGACCTGACTTTGACCTGCCATAGATCAGCGACCTAAGAGGCACATCTAGATTTTTTATGTCAAACGATCCGCTATTCAATTGCCTACAGCTAAGCAAAATTCCATTTGGAAACCATTCCGGAAAAACCTTCGGGGGGGTCAATTTGACCCCCACCCGAGCGCGCGTTAAATGTTCACCTTGCTTTGCAATGCCAACTCCGTTCAATGCTATGTTAGCTTGCAAATGGTAGGCAGAGCTGCATGCACCTAGGACCTGGGTACCCAACCGGCAAGATCAAACTCGCATAGTGACGCCTCTGGGGAGCGTGCGCTTGGCGCTGGTGCGGGGCCGCCCGCCAGGGGGCCCTTTGGCCCACTGGTGGATGGCGCATGCAGACTGCCACGCACAAGCACGGTGTCGCGAGAATGCGGGATCAAGCAAGAAAGAGGGAAACAGGGCAGATGATTCAGATATCACGTTTTGATATACATGATGCAGGAATTTGGGCAGTACTACTAGCAGTGGCAGAACTGAGACTGGGAATCAGATAACGTAAGGAGAGCTCTGTAACCGAAAGTGAGAGTGCAAGTAAGGAATGTAAGACTACGGACAAACATACAAGATCACGAGCAAAATGGCCAGGACACGTGCGGGTGGTGATATTCGGTTCAGTGCGCGCGGATCAGTACACAAGTCATCATCGCCACGTTGAAGTACTACAAATGAGTCAGCTCGTCCGCTACAATATAATTCTGACACGACCAGTCTGACAGCGGCTCTTACGTCATAACATCGTTCTATGACACAACCCAACGATGACGAATTTGTCAGTCACCTGCCTTTCATCGCGGCAGGAAGGGTGGGAATCGAACCGCGTACTTCTGGTTTTCCAGACGCGCAGTGGTTGATGCAGACGCTTTAACCACGACACATATCAGCATGATGACGGATTGAGGGGGAGGTCTACTAAATAGTGCAATTTGCTTGTCTTGAGCAATGTTTTGCACTTCAAAGCATGCCAATAGTTACGAGGACCTTGTTGCATCATGTCTGATGCTTGCCTCGATATCTTCCAACGCAGAGCATTCCTTCTAGCAGTGTCCCGGGGCGCGTAAATGCCAGTCCGAAGACCTCTTTCATTGGTCGTGGCCGCACGCACCATCAGCGGCTCAGTGGTCGGTCAGGGGTTGCGGCACCGAGCTTACGATTCTGCGTCGCCACAGGGCTCCAAGCCATAGCCTAGTCCTCGTCGTCATTGGGATTTTACCACCCACTCAGTGTATGAAGCTATATAGCGTCGCCTGCCTCTTGCCCCAACAGGAATTGTTAATGCCGGGGGAGCCTCTCATCCCGCAACGCCTCTTATTTCTCCTTGAACCCAGGATCCGTGGACCCGTGTGACTCGCCTTGGTTCCCCGTGACATGTGCAACAGCGGGCAAAGCACGGCTCCCTTTGAGGTAAGCTCATTTTTTGGGAATCATTATCAGCAGCACGAAAAAGTGGGGCAAAACTGATGGATTATTTGGTCTCGGAGTTAGCGTCATCAGCAACGTCTGTCAAGCTAGCAGCAGATTGATATCCAATCGCCGGTTGGATATTCCGGGGCGTCACGATCGCCTCCAAATTTGGTGTGCAGGGCCTTCTCAGCACGTTGATACCGAAAATTGCCGTCTTTGGGGAGGAATTTTGAGTAATTTTCGAGTTATACGCCGCGTAACATCCCAACGTGATATTGCGGGCGTCTCGATTGCCTTGAAATTTGGTGTGGTGGGCCTTCTCAACACGCTGATTCCGAAAATCGAAGTGCAGCGTCTCCACCACGGTCAGCAGCAGCGGGCTGATGTGGCCGGCCAGCCAACAACATGGGCATGGCGTGCACAAGTAGCATGCGCTGTTCCACCAGCGTCACCAGCGTCCTTGGGAGATAAGACAGACGGTGACATCATCCAAATCTTCATGCATCAGCGGTGAGGCACGATTAGTTTGATCACCACGGACACCTTGTCAGTTTTAGGTCAGGACAAAAAATGCCCGTGACTACGTCGGACTATTACTCCACCACTTTAAAGTTCAGAAAAGAAACAAAGCTGAAAGCGATGCCACTGGGTGATACCACCAAGTCAATTATATCACATACCACACATTTATCACTCACATGTCGCGAACTGACCTTCTCCAGTGAACTGGTACGGGCAGGCCCAAAGGCGAATTCCAGGACACATAGTCCAAAGCGCGACTGAGGTGTCATGCGTCGTATAACTCGGAAATTACGCAAAATTCCACCCCAAAGGCAGTGATTTTCGGAATCAGTGTGTTCAGAAGGCCCTGCACACCAAATTTGGAGGTGATCGTGACGCCCCGGAATATCCAACTGGCAATTGCATATCAATCTGCTGCTAGATTGGCAGACGTTCATCATCAGCTGGTACAGCGATGTTCACAGCAGGCCCGCATGAATAGGTGCGCCACATCCACCGACACTTCTCGCATTGGGAAACCGTGTTGGTCGAGAGATAAACAAGGGGGTTGACTGGCTGGTGGCGCCGCCCATTGCGAAATCCGGTATACATCCGATCACGCCCGGGACATGTGATATGTTTTCATATCTTGGAATAATCCTGAATGTGTGCAGTGGTCTTCTGTCCTTATTCAATGATTAACGGCAACATTTGTGCTAGGAGAATAAAGACGCTTAATGTGGTCTTTAAAAATTGTGTGCTTTCAAGGTGCAGTGAGTTGATGTTTCTGTGGCAGCAATAAAAAACAAACATTTTGTGTTTTTTATAGGTTAGGTTTGCTTGCATTATTCTGTTAGTTGACAGTGCTGTGGTACTAAGCTGGAGCAGGATGAAAATATTATGCAAAAATGACAATTAGTCCACAAGGTGGCTGTTAAAAGTGGATCAAATATATTGGTTGTGTCTGTAGTCCTAGCCAAGACTTCAATTCTGAAATGATGCTCATTGTTGGTATATGGCATAATTTGTCTGAAATGATGCTCATTGTCATATAGCATGATTTGTCCTCCAGTTGTTCATATCTCAGGTGTTATCCATTTAACAGGACATCAGTGTCCTGTTGTCATACCATCCTACTTTGTTTTCAGCTGTGCCTGCCAAAAAATGTCATTCTTCAACAAACCAAACCATATAGTGGATGGAATCTATCATGAAAAGCAGGTAAGTAATTCCAGAGCATTCTTCTGAACTATGTTATGCTAACCTCCAGTTATAACCTGGGATTATCTGTATTGCATGCCACAAGATCACAATTAAATTCCATGACATTTGTAAGATCCTTTCTGATCTCTCTCTCTCTCTCTTTCCTCATACTTGTAATATCATTTGTCATACATACGTGATAAAACTGGGCAGATTGTTGGCTGATTAATGTTATGTTCAGAATTGGATGTTATATTCCAAACTTGATGGCTGGGTCTCATGCTCATATTTCGCATGCAGACATTAGATCCCTCAAAGCAATATTTTGAGAACAAACTGTGAACAAACTGTGTTGGAACAAACTGTGAGGCTGGCTGTCACCTCATTTGGGTCACTGTGATTACAACCAAGTTTGTTTAACCCAACAACAAGGGATGGGCTGAACAAGCACCAGGAAGGCCACATGCTAAGTAAGGTTAATCTTAACAGCAACAAATGTCAACTTAAGCAGCCCAGATATCATACTATATTATGTGCATGCCGCATGGCTCTAAGAGCGAGGGAGATGGTGACAAATTATGATGTTATAGTGTCTCAGGTATTCAAATAAGGGCATTCAAGAGATACAAAATCAAACTTGCTTGTGACTCAGTTGTAAAAAATCAGATGGTGAAATTGATCTCAATCATGCCGTATGGTGCAGCAATTGATTCTGACTGAATGTGGGCAGTGCAACTTGACATTGGATCATCTCTGAGTCATCGGGCCATCTCTGACTCTTTGTGGCCCATCCTGCCCTCAGGTGCGGGAGCTGTGCGCACTGCACGCTCTCAACAACGTGCTGCAGGACCGTCAGTTCACGGAGAGACAGCTGGATGCCATCTGTGACGAGCTGGCCCCAGGTGCCTGGCTCAACCCCCACCGCTCCCTCCTCGGCACCGGCAACTTCGACGTCAATGTTGTGATGACGGCACTGCAGCAGAAGGGCTGGGACGCTCGCTGGTTCGACCGCCGCAGGTGGGGGGGGAGGTGAAGGGGGAAGGAAAGGACGGGTGTCGGCACCCCGTGGACTGGAGCTTGCATTGTGTTGCGTTAAGATGACTTGAATGATGAGATGATGATGAGACAAGGGAGCGGAGGGTTATCAAGCAGTGTAGCTCATACAGTATTAATCAAACATAGTTTGACCAACCATTGATGCTTTGTTGCTGTCATTAAGCCCCACCTTTGGCCATTGTGTGCTGTTACTGGTTTGCTGGCCTGACCTATTTTAAGTAAGTGCTGAGCGGTCGCGGTCGCGCCATTGCCACAAGGTCGCTTATCTGCGCGAACAACTGCAGATTCTATGCGCCCTTGTTACGCCAGCATTCACCGGCATGGCCTCCCAGCTCCCTGACGTCGCGTTTGTGTACGCTAGATCCGTCTCGGACCTGGTGTTGGCGCACATCGAGGGCTTCATCCTCAACTTGTCCACCGAGTACAGAATCGGGCCATTCACCCTGCCATACTCGCGTCGCCACTGGGTGGCGCTGCGGCGTTTACGCCCCGCCTCCCTGCCACCTAGCGAGCCGGCTGTGTACTACAACTTGGACTCCAAGCTGCCGGCGCCACAGAGCATTGGATCGGTATGAGTGTACGCCTGGGCTTCAATTGTGGCGGGCTGAAACGGGGTTTGGCAGTGTTTGGCCGTGTTGGTCTTAACCAGCTCACTGGCTTAAAGAGACAGAAACTGGAAAACCCTAAATCCTTCTCTTTTGTCTGAAGTAAATAAACAGTAAACCAACAATAAGCCACATAATACTGAAGTATGTGGTGTATTGGACTAATTCACGTCTCACCCTTTGCTCCATGGCGGTGACGTGTGACTGCATCCCACTGGGTACATCACCATACCGGCCCCCATGGAGTTGAAATGCGTACACCACCGCTCTAAGGTGTAGACTTATTCTGGAACAGGTCACTTATGGATATGAATGAGTTGGCTTCTATCTACATGGGCTGCTCAGTGTGCAGGGCACAGTGAAAAGAACAGGTTGCCTCAGCATACTGGCTCTTGCCTTCAGATTTACCCAGCTGAACTGCTGCTCTGTAGGAGGTCATTTTACATGTGTATAATGTGGCTGCTGGTTTCAGGATTCTGATCTCATACAGTACCTCTCTGAGAAGCTGGGCTCGAAAGACGTCGAACTGTTCGTGGTCGTGAGCCAGCAAGCAGCCGCCGATGGCGTGTGGATCGCGAATGCGGCGTCGCCTGCCGACCAAAGATCGGACTTCAACTGCGTAAAGTCCCCAGGAGATGTCTCTGCGGACGACGGTCCGGCTGCAGCACGTGAACTTGCCGTGAAAACGGCGGGCGCAAACGCGTCCGAACAGAACGGTGTGGTCATGCAGGGGACGTGCAGCTGAGATCGGTCACGTTTTCCTCGGCAGCACGCGCAGGGTCCGCCCGGCCTGGGTATGGTCGCCCGCCGGCAAGCCTTCTCCGCACATCGCCGCTGCCGTCTGACCCCGCGTTACCTCACTACGCTGTGGTGCCACGCGCGCCGCGCCACACGCCCCGCATGAGCGTCGAGCGGCGTCAGCGTCAGGCCTGGAGCTGGCAGCTCGACCGCCGGGAGCGGCGGCTCGGCGAGCCCCCTCGCGAAGGGATGCAGGGTCCGCAGCCCCGCCACGCGTGGCCGCGACTGCAGGCCGGGTCCGAGGCTGTGGCGCTAGCGCTGCTTGTCGCTTGAGTTACTCCTTGTTGGGGTACAGCGCGCCGCGGTGTGGTACGTTGAACGGTATTTCGCCAAGTGTTATCGGCCATTTTGTCCGTCTTGTGATTCTGCGCAGTGCACGGATTGGCGGGAACGCGCGTGGACGTCATTGCCGGCCTGACGTCCGCAATTGCCACGCATTAAAGAATAATGGAGCCCATGTTTTGACGTATTCGCTGGCATTCAGACTCCGTACACGGCCATCTGAAGGCGCTGCGGCACGCTAAGATTGCATGATGTGACTTGTAGTCGGCTTGCTTGTTTTGTACTGTTGTTGACGCCATATTTTATCCCAGAACTAGCAAACAGTGCGAAGCGTGTCGGCATCATAGCGTTTCCAACATAGAACACAGCTCATTTCGCCGACCGGAGTGGCAGATACGACCTCGTGTAATTGCATCGAAACCCTTGCAGTTGCGGTTTTGCGTCGGTTGCCTTCTCTTTCAGCCGCACTGAGGTGTCGACTGGCCGGGAGTTGTTGGACCAGCGAGCGGGGTGACCAATCGGCATGCACAGGTGTAGCAGTGTTGCTCTGCCCCGCGCTACGCCCTTGTCAGCGACGGACAAGCGGTCAGGTGCCGCGGCCATCACGCGTTGTCTGCCCCGCGCTACGCCCTTGTCAGCGGCGGACAAGTGGTCAGGTGCCCCGGCCATCACGCGTTGTCTGCCCCGCGCTACGCCCTTGTCAGCGACGGACAAGCGGTCAGGTGCCGCGGCCATCACGCGTTGTCTGCCCCGCGCTACGCCCTTGTCAGCGGCGGACAAGTGGTCAGGTGCCGCGGCCATCACGCGTTGTCTGCCCCGCGCTACGCCCTTGTCAGCGGCGGACAAGTGGTCAGGTGCCCCGGCCATCACGCGTTGTCTGCCCCGCGCTACGCTCTTGTCAGCGACGGACAAGCGGTCAGGTGCCGCGGCCATCACGCGTTGTCTGATCAACGTTGGCGATGTTTGCGTGGTTAGCCGACTGTGGTCCGAACATGGTATCAGAAGTACAATACGTGTGAAGATATAAAACGTGTGGTACGTTCCTTGGCTTCTGGTCGTCAGTCTCGGGCCGTTCATCCCAACAGACATTTCTCATCACAAGCGTTGGCCCGCCTGGCGGGGGATAAGCCAATTCTTGTACTGGCTCGTTCCTTCGCTTAGGTAATACACTGCAAGCCGACTTCTGCAGCGAACGCAGACAATGTTGCCGATTTATTTACCTTAATTGTGCATTGAGGTTTAGGCGTCGGGATGCGGTAGACATTCTGGAAGTGGTTTTGTAGTTAAGACGCATGTAGATCTTTTGCTGCTTGCGGCTATTTATCTGGCAAAAGGGTAGTACCGCAAAAACTGTTTATGAGAGACGGATTAAGGGCAGGCGCGAATGGAACTTCCGCAACCTAGCTGGACTTAAGGACTCTCAAACTTTCGCTTGCGTTCAGGACTGGTAAATCCAAGCTTGACTTCAGAGCTCGTAATCAAAGGATATCGCTTCGATAACTTCGGTTTGCTGTTCTTTGGTTTCTGCCACTGCGAGATATTGCAAACCCAGCCGCAGCCGGGAACACTGGATTGCTATCCCATCACATATTTTGCGCAATAAGCGTAATAAATTATCTTTTCTGCAATACATGTCAGGATGGAAGCGGGCCGTTTTGCCCACGGGACCTTCCGCTCAGGCCTGCACCCAGATGCAGCAATCCGTCATCGCCCCATGGACGACACAAAAGAATTGCATCTGGCGAAATGCACAAAAGATGCGGACGGTAACATCCCTGACATTTGTTGCGCAGCAGGCAGTCAAAATCAAGGCACTTTTATTACACGTGCCAGTGGAGCCAGCGGGTTGGATGGGAAGGCTGATATGCGATTTCACACGAACCTAGGGAGGCAAGTATTTAGACATCAATCGCCAACTTCCCATCAGTTGGAGACTGATTTGATTTGATATTTATTTTCGCCTACGGACACCAGGCAGAACATAATGTGATAAGTGGATTGGCGCATAAGCGGAACGCTTAAGTCTGAGCGCCTCTCCTAACAATAACAAGATATGGTCATCGCCGCCAGGGAACCCACGACCCACCACCCACCCGCCCGATCCTGTGAGCGTTAGCTTCATTAACTGCATGCTAGCAGCATTTGGTGCTAATTATGTGATGATGGCTTATATCTAAGGATTTATTTAGTTTGCGTACATTTCTTAGCTTTTTCTCAATATTCCAAATTATAAAACATCGTTTCCGTCAACATATAACATATCCGTCCGTCTGCACTTACCCGGATTTTGAAGTATGTGGCATCAGATGTGACAAATTGTAATGGGACCGAAAAATGGTTTTCGCAGTCGCTTTAATGAGATAGATCAGTTGTTGTTCTGGTAGGCATGCAAATAAGTGGGTCGCGTAACCGATACCAATCTGCTCTTCCCTAAACGGCCGATGCATGTAAAACTGGCAAAGGTGCAATCATGAGCACAGCGGTCATGCTTTTTTGCCCATGAACAAAGCAAAACAAAACAAAAACTGCCAATGGGGCGCAGTGCTTGCATGGTGTTTCTACGATGCTGTAGATCTCTAAGTGACCTTCCACTAGTATGTGCGAACTAGCACGCACACATTCAATTGCACCAAGCTCGGCAAATAGGCGGTTTGGAATCTTAAAAAGTTCACCGTAAGGTGACAAAATAGCCTACTTGAACCGCAAAACCACATGCAAATCTGGAGAAGTCCCTTTAAACCTGATCGCTTTCTTATAACCCTGCCCGCCAGTTCAGCCACAACTGAATGCAGTTTCAGCGCGCGACAGAGGCTGAAAACTTGCTCGCTTAATGATGACGCAAAGGAGGATCAGCGCAGCAGAAGTGTACTCCGTGCTCGTCTTTGCCTGCATCGCGCTAATCCAGCATATGCTACAGTCGTTGTCCGTCTAAATGTATCACGTCAGAGAGCGCTCGGCTGCGCTTTGGGCCGCACCGCAGACGGTGGTGCTGCAGACCTGGAGAAAGCATGCGAACTCTGTGATCCTCAAGCAGCGTGCCGTTGGAATGCTTTTATCGCCACTACAATGAATGATCGGATTCAGGAGAGAGTGAGGTGGGTTGTCATGTCCAAGTAGTATCAGGGTGATTTATTCCGGATCTGTGCGATGGGCGGCAGGCTTGCGTCACTCAGCTGGCGCACAGCAGCTTCCTGCACCTTTCAGTATAATTCCGGTCGCACACGTGCGCGTGTCTTGGGATGAGCGCGACAAATATATTTTTCACATATCGGTGAAAACTGAAGCAATTGGTGGAAACGTACGTTAACGAGACTGCGGCCTATTTAGACCAACCGGAATGCTGCACCGAATGGTAGAAACGTGCGTGTTTCGTATATTCTGCAAAACAATTCGCATCTGTTTCACAAAGATTTTGGGGTAGCGCGGACCTTCTTCCAACATGTCGGGCGGTACGTATCGTGTCAGCTGCGCATGGGGCATGTTATATCGGCGCTACAGTGTACCAACAATATCTCATTGACTGACTTGCTGTCAGTGATTGACTGACACGATCGCCATACATTTCTGTCATCCCGAACACAAGGCGACATTTACATTACCTTAGTAAACCCATGGTTTCCACAGTAGCTGCCGAAACCGAGGTGGCAGTAACCGTACAACACACGCTGATCAGAAGAGCATCAAGGGAGTTCAGCTCAGCATTTGGGGTTGGGGGAGGGGGGGGGGGGGCGCAGGCCCCCGAAAGTATACCAAGTGACATCTCTACCCTCAGCCCAATAGGCCGATGCATAATTTTTCATGGCGCGAGACACAACATTGTTGTCCCCTTGGTATTTGTTTCCTCACGAAAATTAAAGTTGGGACCATTTGCGATGCCCCTGAATTTGATGACCCTTGGAAATAAAGGTTATGTGGACACGGAATGAGCATTTTAATGTCCCTTCACCATGACAGTTTGGTACCCATTCTACACAAGGGGGCCATGGCCCCATGCCTCCCCCCCCCCCCTCTGGATCCGCCCCCGGATGCGCACCTGGGTGAAACTAGGCTCCCCCAAGCTTTGAGAACAGAGTGGGCCAAATTTGTGGAGAAACCTGTTTGTTGGCGTATTTTGGGGTATATTTGTCATCGTTACTGCTGAGCTTCCCCCTTTGGCCACTCACTTTGCAAAATAACACTCTTTCTGTTGGAACCGGGCGACGTGTCGGCCTGAGTAAGATCGGTCTGAACGTTGGCTCTAATGGGACTGGCCGCTGCGCAGTTTCTGGAAAGACTGGCAGTAAGTCTGCAGCTACTCTTCACAGAGTCACAGCCCCCCTCCCCCTTCAGCTGGGATTGTTTTCATTTTTAGCACAGATGGCTACCGGCAGAAAGTTAAAAATCGATGCGATGCGCTCTTACCGAGCACTCCTTTACTCCTTTACTCCTTTGGCTGCGCCACTGGACGCAGGCAAAGACGGAGGTCATGAGCAGCTGGGGGGGGGGGGGGGACTTAAGTCCCCCATTTCTATCAGGTTTGAGCGCAGTTTTTGACCACGATGCTACTTGATATCATTTCTGAGTCTGATGTTTGGAAAATTATTTTGGCCTGAACATCATAGACACGGCAGTAACACGTAGAACCCCACAGTTCTGGGAGGAAATTTGCTAGCAAAACTAGCGGATAGCCGAGTAAAGATAACGGTATGCAGCTGAAATAATTGTTGAACAATTGACGGCAGTGGAACCAGCATCGATAACTCATTGATACAATATGTATATTGTACTTACCAGCGATTGTGGGATCTGCTCGTCTGTGGGCAGAGCGTAGGAAGGGAAAGTAGAGAGAGATGTATCAGCTTTTACTCCGAGCTCCTTCCTGCTATAACTACTGAGGCTGACGCCAATATTATTACATCTGCAGACAGCTTTAGCGTTCAACTTCGTCTCTAGCGGTTAAGTTAGGTTAGGAGAGATCAAGCCTTGTTTTGTTATAAATGGCTGCTAAACGAACCCCTTCGAAATGTTATAACCTACACCACTGCGGGTTTTACTGTGTCACGTAGAGGGGAGGCTGTGGTTATGTTTTTCACAGATTAAGTCACGTCACAAGCCAACTGAATGCGTTACGACATGTAAACGAAATGGGCTTGTCTTTGCTATTTCGTAGTTCGTTGTGATTGCGACATGACACATTTTTGTCCCAATCAGTTAGTGTTTGCTTGACAACTACAGCCATCTCGGTTTCGGCTGCTCAGGAGGAAATTAAGGATCTAAATAGGTATGTAAATCTTGACGTATTATGTAGACGCCAGTAAGTTATGGCAATCATGGGATTCAATAACTGCCAATAAGTCAGTTAATTAGATGGTGCCTGTGCATTGTCGTAGAGGGAATGCTCTACGCTTACAGATATTAAAGTAAGCACCAGATATGATGAAGTAAGCTCTCTTATAACTATTTTTTTCTTTTCAGTGTAAAAGGCTGCTCTAGACAACACACTTTCTCTGTTTAGTAAACATGCTCCTAAATACGTCAGTGTTTGACTGCATCAAGGTATCTTGCACAACATTAATTGAGAGCCAAGAGATGACCGTTATGTCCGGAAATCGTGCCCACGGACCCCAGGCATGAGCTACTGGACCATTATATTCTTCTTTGTCTTGATCGCAGCATGACCAATCAAATGACATGGTTTGAATGACGTCATAATGACGTTATGGATGTCTAGTGACCTTAAAATATATTCCCGAAGTAGTCTGCACATCTTCGCGGGCGTTAGCTCAGAAACTAGAAGGGTTTAGGTCTTAAGGGCAGGGCTGTTAACTGCACGGAATGATTTTAAAGATGTTTTTTAGTTAGAAACTCATGCAGATGTGAAACACTCCCTTTAACGATGCGACATGCCCCAAGAACAGATGATACAACATATACCACCAGA